AACAACTAAAACATATACTCATGTGTTTCTGTTTTATAGAATAAAACACCTGTAATGTATGTCAGGAGTGCCAAAATCACATTCATTCAGATTTGGAAGGATGCAGCTCAATCAAACAGTATCAACTCAATGTGGCACTTACATGTTTAAGAACTGCTTCACTCAGYTTTCTCTTTCCTTTCTCTCTGAAGAGCGAAGACAAGCAGAACTTAGCACCCAGCATAAAGTTATCTTCTTAAAATTTAATTATTTTGTTCTTAAACCAAAAAGAAAAAAAAAATTGAACATAAGACGTTTTTCAAAAGGAACAAACATTTCATTACTAAAGATGTCACTTTGCCAAAAAGAGAGGAAAGGTATTCTGAATTTTCTTTTCAGGAAGTCAAATATTTACATTGAAATAAAAGTGACTTAAAATATTCAAAACAAAGTTTCATTGTAAAATGCAGAGATAGAAGAAACAGGTTTCAAAAGATATGTAGTGAACCATGAAACCTGAATCTCACTAAAATTACAGAGACAAGTTCACACAATTAACATAAAATTGAAATATTATTGGAGGAATCAAGAGCTCCTATCAGCAGAAGACCTACTTTACTTTCCTTGGAAAGGCTTTATCTTAAAAAAAAACCCTCAAAAAATCTTTTCACTGTAATTTATAAGTCTATGTAGAGATCTATGCCMTATATACTATACTATATACTGCTACAACCAGACTGCTTTCAGCACTTATATTAGACTGATATTTCAAGCTCATCATATTATGAAGAAAAACTGCCATAAATGTCTCTCCAGAGAACAAAAACCTCAACTCACTAGAATTCAGTGAAGATACTATAGCCTAAAAAAAGCATGAGTTAAAGAAAAGAACGTTAAGAGCTGTTGTCATAGGATTTTTTTAAAGGGGYTGTGCATGAAAACCATTGCTCTCTGTTTCTGATAAAATACAACGTTSCTAAGAAATCCTCTTAAGGGATATAAGTTATTTCATTAATCAATAAATTGCATTTTCTTTATGGAAATAATCTTTGATGGCATCCAGGTCATAAAATTACAGTTACTTTATAAAGAAATGTTTGCCTAATATCTCTTCAAATGCAGATCAGTAKGCAGAAAAAGGATCTATAAAATAGTTTCTTTATATGAACTGCTGTGAAGAAAAGATGCAATAGACTTTGGACAYAGAAGATAAAAAAAGATAAAAATCAACAAAACAAAGTACAAAAATAAGTGGGGAGAATTTGAAAAGGAAACAATACCCAGCAGATATTTATAGTAGGAGAATCTCTACAGTAGTACAAGTGGGCAGAGCTTTAAAGGAGGTGGGCTCTAAGTTGCCACAGACCTAGGTGTCATGCTGTGAAAGTCTTTGCTGAAAGTCATGTAAGCACACTGCAAAAAAAAATGCTGCCACTGGAGGGAATATGAGATAACAACAGAAAGAGGTAACATTAACTGCAGGAAAAGCTGAAGGTGACAAAGACAAGGTAATTGGCTTTTGCAGAAGTCGTTCAGGTTCCCCTGCAGAAGTCYCTTTCTGAAGAAACATTTGTTATCAAGCAGCTGGTTGTAGAGGAATCTGGTTTACTTCCTTGGGAACAAACACTTAGGTTGCAGTGTCTTAATGTTTCTCCTGTCCTGTAAGGCAGAGAGCATCAGAAAATAGCACCCAAGAAGGGAACCAGTAGAGATTCTGGAGCTTCTTTGGACCCCTTCCTTTCTGAATATATCCTTRGAACTGGAAACACTACTGTCACTTAAGAAAAACCAAAAAAAAMCCAGAAAATYAATAACCTAACCAAACAAAACCTGAAAAAAACTGATAGTTTTTTATAATTTGTAACCAAAGACCAAATGGGGKTTAACTATGTTTTTAACATGTTCTTCCAACTTAATACTTTTTTAAAAAAAATCATGATTGTATATGACTATACCATATAAGTTTGTGGCCCTAAAACTTTGCTTGCTTATAAAATATTACAGGAAACTTTGCTGGTAGAACAAAGCCCCCTCTCACAGAKCAAGATGAAAACATTGGGAGAAAGTAAGATGTTACATGTTTTTACATGACTTTTAGTTAAAAATGCATACAAATATGCATACATAAATGTAAACATTTATATCCTCACAGCAAGAAGAAACCTAAAGATCAGAGCTCCTSCTTCAGTAGATACCATGACAGAAAACAGATGAAACCCTGCCCTTCAGTTTGATTCTCAAATGAGCAAAAAAAACATGAGATACTTATGGCAAATACTCTTCCTATACACGCTATTAGATGGAGCCACATCATCAACACATCCAAACACACTTCTTRGATATTTGTTGTTCCAGAAACATTGCACCTGAAATACAGTCATTACAGGGTATTGCCAGATTCTAGTAAATTTTAAAACAAAAAAAAAAAGGCAACACAATTTCCAGGGTTGTTTTTGTACTCATACCAACTTTGTAGGAGTAACTAAATACAAGTGTGCATCMAAGAACAGCTTGCCAATCCTAGCCATCTCCTTTCTTTTTTCTTTAGTGCTGTCTTTGTCCATCCACTGAGAGTGGCTGTGGCCCTCTGCTTCCTAAAGGTGTCCTTGGGGGACAGAGAGTAAGATTTTATACTGCCCAGGAAGATCTATTTTTTTAGCAAATAAARATCAATTCGTCTTTCTTTTGCTTCTTTGGACCTCTGGAGAGCTATGATGTTTCTGTCAAGGTTGAAAACTCACAGATAAAAAGGGAAAAAAGTTAGGGTGAGGCTGTAAAAGGGCTACAAGGATCTTATTTCAGCAGAGGAATTGGGGGAAACAKAGAAGAAAGAGCATTTACATTCATAGCTCAGAGACAGCTCATCATCTGTGCACATCACTGATTTTGTTAAAATTTGAACAGTTTCACCTGGATTTACAACTTCCACCTTCATTGTGATGCGGTATAAGTCACACTTTTCTTCMGGTAAAACCACAGACCATGCACATCTTTGAAAGTTTCCTTATTTAGAAATAAGCCTTAAGGCAACCTTTTCTCCTTCCAAGGCATCTTCGGATCAGGCAAATGCCCAACCTGTCTGCAGAGACTTCCTGGAAAAGGCTATGGCCAGACAGAGACAGTGAAAGACAGACCTGCTAGGACAACCATTGCAGGCTGGGCAAGACAAAAATAGGGGCTATTGAAAGAAGTAGGTCTCAGATTATGGCTGTTACTCACAAAATCCGAAAACCAGCCTTATATTACATAATTTCAATTTTTGCAGATGAGTTGGCTTTACATGTGAAACAACAAACCCTAGATTTTTTTTTTTTTTGCAATCAAAGTCCACAGATAGAAGAGCTGGTAACAACAAACATTTTCACAAAATGTCACCAGTGAAATTTTCAGATCACAAGATCAGTAAGATTGAAAATACCAGATACTTATAAATCTGGAAAATTTATTAGCCACAAAGTGGCTAGTGCCAGCTAGTTGTGTCCCTGCCTCAAGGACTGAACAAAGTGGAAAACACAAGATTTAGAACAAAGCAGAGTTATTTCATGTCTAACACGCCATTGCTTTTTTTTCATTTGAATATGGCAACTTTGATGAACAGCCATTTTGACAACAGAAAGCTACAGGGCCCTGATCTGACATGGTAATGTCAGRGAGATAGCTAAGTTTCTCTGTTAGCTCTGTAGCTCTTGGACAGGAGGTATGTTTTGTTCCGATGTGATTAAAGAAGGGTGCAGTAGTCTGAGAAGTACCAATTCTTCTTTCTTTTGGCAAGGGACCAACTTCTTAGGTGATTCTTAACAAMAACCATAAACACTCTGTTAAAGGACATCCTTTGAGCAACATTAATAATTTCCTGTGTATGTGCACATAGCATTAATAGCCAATGGGATGGATTACACAATGTATATGCACMAATTCACAAGTTCAGTCTTACCTTCTAGGCTTGAAGGCTGGCAAAAAAGGAAGCTTCTAACCACAAGGTAATGTTGACTTCAACACTACTCCTTCAAAACTCAGATACTTTAATTGAAAAGCTCACCCTTAATTTAAAACACAGCATAATTGTAAGTGTTTTTATTACTACGGTCAAAATCTTCTATGCCTTAGGGTAAATTTWAAAATTACCTGACTAGACACTGTCAAAGAAAAGAAGAAACACCCATGAATTTATGAACTGGTGATAGTGATTTGCTGACTCTATGACAATCCACTTTTCCGGCTGGCAAGATCCTAAAAATGCTAAGTAAMAGGTATGGACCTCTCTGAGGAAAGTACAGGCCTGTGACCACTGGATCCAACTCAGCTGCACATCAGCAGCTATCTTCTAAACCATACTGTTTGCCTATTTATTATCCAGTCAATAACCAGTGCAGTCCTGGCAAAATCCAGGATTTGGGGGGAGTGTTATTGTCATACATGGCCCTGACGGAGCTGAGCAAAAGTGCCAATATGGTTCTGACCATGAGCTGCAGCAGCGCCTCAGACTGGTGCCACAACACTTGGACAGACCAGTCCTCAACTGAAGRCATTCAATACATGGCACAAAATGGCCATTGGAAAGGGATTTACAGGAAAATAGGATCTTTAACATTCATATTCCCACAGCACTGTGGTGTGCACAGGTGTCAGCCAGGGTCAGTGTCACATTGCTTGCCAATACAAAACTCAAAACTGGTTTTCTGTGACTAAAGAAAAAGCAAGCCTGCCATGGGCAGGATTATTAGGGGTCCTGGTATGTTTAGTGTTGAGCAACTTCTCCAGAGGAAAAGCAATGAAAAGGAGTGCCCGGGTTAAGAGAGGGCAGCAGTGCCTGAGTACCTTTCATTCACCTCTGTTATTAAAACCTGTGGCCAGAGTTTAAGCCCCGCAGCCTCTTTTCGAGCCCCGCTCCGTTCGCAGGCAGGCTGCAAAGCAGCGGTAAGGACTGAGCAGCACCACCRAGCCCCGCTCCTTCACCATCTGGGCCCACAGCTAAACCCAGCTGCCGGCCTCGACGGGCACGGGAGCTGTGGCACAGCCGCGGCTGGAAGGAGGGGCCCCGGGGCGCGGCGGCCGGAGCGGGCTGGGCGGTGTCCCGGCCCCGGGGCGTTGCCGCTCTTGGCGCCGCTGGAGCAGCTGCRGCTCTACCCCGAGCGGCTGTCGAGCGGCGTGTGCGTGTGTGTTTGTGGGGCGGGCAGCCATGCGGCGCTGGAGGCTCCTTCTCTTCCCGGTGCTCCTCGCCGGCCTGGTCTCCGTCAGAGGTGAGGACGGGCGGGAGGCGCGGAGCGGTCCTGCCGCAGCTCGGGGAGGGAGCGCTGTCCTGCCCCGGGTCCCTGAGGCGSCGGCCGAGCGCTGCCGCTCCTCACGGAGCCGGGCGGGTCCCKCCTGGCCGTGTCTGTCCGGAGCAGGGAAACGGCGTTCTCTCTCTCCAGCTATTTTTCTTTTCTCGCTCTTTTTTTTTTTTTCTCTTTCATTTAACTCTCTGGAAAAGTACTCCTGAGGTTTCTGCCCCCCTTCCGCGCTGGAAACTCTGACTGGTTTATTATCTGCGGTGAATATGTGGTACTCGTCCCAGTAGCCTGGAATGCACAGGGGTCCTCGAAGGGGACTCGGAGTGGGTTTCGGGTCGTGGGGAGCTCGGCTGGAGCGCRGCTTCCATTTTAGGAAAGAAAGCAGAGTTACAGCAATCCCAGGGCAACGGAGAGTTACTCACCAGAAAGTCTGCCGTCACACGACAGCCTTTAAAATAATTCTTATGGCAAAACTGCAGGGTATGTTACCGCAGGGTAACAAAACACACTGGTATGTTTTCTGAGAAGCTTCTCGTTGCTTTAGTATGTATCAGGGACGATTTTCCCGAACGCTGATAAAAAAAAGTGTATGTAATAGCACTTGGGTATTTGGTAAAAGGAGACATTTGGGGGGAGGCAAGTAGCAAAGTCCCAGATACCGAGTTTTTTTTCCAGGCAGAGGACTGCTGAACTGGAATATGCAGTCCAAAGTATTATTTCCCATTTATATTATTTGTTTCTCAGACATTCATTTCTTTTACTACGTTAATAAGCATACTTGCTGCTATGCCTAGGTGTTTTCTTTCAGGTACTTCGTAAAAGCAGCACTTCAAATCTTAAATATTTACCTCTTCACTGTAAAAGGGAAGAGAAAATACATGTTCCTAACTTTGATTGGAAGCTCTAGATAGTGTACACAGGATGCCAGATAAGCAATTTGACAGCAAGCCTGTTTGAATTCAATTCTGCTGTGGCCCTGTTTTGGTCTTGACTTGTAGGTTAGCAAAGCTGAGCTCTTGGAAAAACAGTACAGTTTTACAGAAACCACCTTTAAAACTGACAGATGATTATGGCTGCTCATATTTATCGTTTTACTASTTGTGTGGAAAACTTCCTACTCTACTTCTGCAAGCAGTCCTCACACTCGTGGGTATCAAAATATTTGCTGTGGTGCTCTTAACACGTGGAAGTATTTGGGGTCACTGAGAAATAGTCTTCCTAAACTTTTTATCAAGAAGTGTGTCGATGAAAAGAGACTGAATTCTGCTTTACTGGAGGGAAGGTGCACAACAATTGCCTCTAGGGTTTTTGTTTTTTTTAAATTTTGAGGAAAATGATACTACATTTTAAGCARGCTGCTTTTAGAAAGCTAGATAATTTATATGGGTACAGGTCGATGTCAATAATGCAAAATGAGTAGATAGATTATAATTAGTTTGGACACTTTTTCTTTAAAAAATTGTGTTAGAATTTGAGAACTGCTGAGAATGTCAGCCTGAGGAGGGTGGGGCCCTCCAGGGGAGTTTCAGATCTGTGTTGGTGCAATCTTAAATGACAAAGSCAAAACCTGAATTACATGCTTTTGAAAAACTTAATTTCACTGTTGGTGGGCTGTCTATAGTCTGAATTTGCAGAATTGCTGTAGAAAGTTAAGTATCCTGCTTTACCAGCAGTTCAACTGTTGTGGCTTTGTAGAGGTGATTGGTTGCACTAGGACTGCCTGCTTTCATGATTCAAGCAGAAGAATCTGTGCTTCAGACTGATAACTTCTTATGGGATCATCTATGTTAGGCATGGGGAAGTTATTAGTGTTAAATCTATATTCAAGGTATCACAAGGATTTGAATGTATTATTAAGCAAGGTTGAACTGTGTTATTTGAGCAGTTTTGAGAAAGAGTCCCGATTTTAACCTCAGAGCTGGTATTCAGGTGTGGTCTCACGTGCCACGTGTGAACTCTGCCAGTCTGGCAAAGCTGGAATTTATAAACCGTTGGGTCTATATSCACAGGAAGGTTGAATACAAATTTTTATACCACGAGTTCCTATAGGCAGTCTGATAGCTTGCCCGTGCTGAGGGGTGGGATCTTCTGTTTCTCTTCCTCCTTTGTTTGATCCGATGCCCATCGAGGCCTGCACTGCGATTAGTCATCTGCTGACTTATCAAGCTGAATCATCTGGTGCATTGAGTTTGCTCTGCGGACTGTTTGATTGGTGTCCCTGCCAAGACAAGGGAGTGGCAGRGCCTAGCATGGGAGAGTGGAAATGAGGTAGGGACAAGCAAGGAGAGGGCAGGAGGCTTCCTGCTATGGCTGGCTATGAGGTGTGAGACTGTCTCAGCCACCTTACACCCRCAAAATCATCAGGTTAGCCAGTGTCTGATTTGAGGCATGTGGTTTTCAAAATACAGTGCAATRAAACATATTAGGCAGCATGACTTCTGTACCATGTAAAGACCACAGCAGAAGAATTAAACAGAAAAAAAACCAAAACCGAAAACCAAACAAAAAACAAAACAATAAAACAAAAAAAAACCCCAAAACCCCCAAAGAAGCCAACAGAAAAAAAAACAAAAACCAAAAAACCAAAAAACAAAACAAGAAGAAAACCAACAAAAAAAAAAAGCCATACTTGATACTCCATACATGGACTTGATGACCTTAGAGGTCCAAACCGACCTAAATGATTCTGTGTATGATGAGCAGCAAAAAAATTCTGCATTCAAACACAAGGCTCAAAAGCCTCCCTTATCTACTGCAGAAATAACAAGGCATGAAAAGCTGTCTGCTTACTGAGGAGCTGGAGTTTGGACTCCAGGATATATGGTTTAAGTGTCTGTTACAAGAATTGAATAGAATTTGTTGATTGAGACGCAGTTGCCAAAAGAAACGCCTGGAGGTGAGCAAAATGCAGGCTGAAAAATGAGGTACGCATGTCGTAAGATCAGTAGCCTGGGGTGGATTGCGGTTGGAGATTCCCTCTTCCTAAGACTGCTGTAATTAGAGGGCTCTGAGCAAAGGGAAGGAAACATTTGTGCTCCTGACTTCTTGCTGAGGCAAGTGAGTGTTGAGAGAAATGACTGGCTGGATGAAAGATGGTGAAATGATCCTGTCTGTAATCCATTAGTTGGAGCTTTCAGCTRGGACAGGGAGGTTTTGCAGGGACTCCTGGAGACTGAGCTCTGCAGTGTGTACTCTGAAGTTGTTTGCCTTTTAAATCTGATTTTAAAAATCCAATTAAAACCAAAAATAAGCTAGCAAACCACCACACAGCTTTCAGCTGAACAATTTTAGTAGCAGTGCTAGAGTGCATATAYGGCAGCATGAACTTTAAAAGTGCAGCATGTGTTCCTCCATCTTTCTATTTTCTCTGATGTGAAATGGCTAATAATTTATTTCATGTAGTGTTACATAAAATGGCCACTGCACTGTTATATCAAAATGATGTCACTCCAATAATTCTTAAGCTTTCCGTAGTTACAGTGATTTAACTTGGCAAGAGTTAAGTGTGACTCAGCCTGCTGCCATCCAGCCAGGACCAATTTCAATATTTTCCTGACGTTACTCTGGTTCATATGATTGGGCCGCCTGTGCTTGAGAAAGAACCCTGCTTTAACTCTTGCTGTCTTGAACTTCTCTCTGCAATCACCTTGCATTTCATCAGGTGTCAGCTGTGTTAGTAAAATGCAATAATAATAGTAGTCATTGGTTAAGATCATTTTGCCAGGAGCATTCCTCTTTCTTCTAGCCTTTTGCAAACTGCTTTTGTGTGCTCTGGCACAGGATCCTGCTCTTTAGAGTCTAGTMAAAACGTTTTGAGAGAATGTTATGAGCAAAACAGTCTCAACTCGTGGAACTTTACCTTAAATGAGCTTACTGGTGTCCTTGTGTGTCTCCTCTCTCTGCTGGCGGACTCTTYGTGTGTGCTCAAGCAGGAATACTCTGTGCTCCTTTGGCCAGCTGAAGGTTTGGTGTGCACTGGCAGTGTTGGTGTCACCATGACATGATTGTAAGTGGCACAGAGCAGTTCATGGCCTCTTCCCAGACAGGGCAGCCTGCTGCTGAAACCTGGCCAAGTTCACGTCCTGTACTTTCTTTGAACCATAGAATAGAATCACAGGATGGTTTGGATTGGAAGGAACCTTAGAGATCATGTAGTTCCAGTTCTCTGCCGTGGGCCTGGACACCTCCCACTATACCAGGTTGCTCACAGCCCCATCCAACCTGGCCCTGAATACTTCCAGGGACAGAGCATCCATGCAACAACTTCTTGAGCAACATGTACTAGGAATTGTTTGGACATAAATCTTGTCTTCAGATACCTACATCTTGTGTCTCCAAAACACATGACATAGTTTATGAAGTAAATTAAGATTATTTATGGTATATAACAGCACATATCTAATTTCTCTGTAATTTTTTCAAAGGCCATCTGGTAGGTAATTCCTGATCCTCAAGTGATAAGGCCTTCTTCCTTAGGGATTTCAATTGCTGCAGGAGGAGAGACACAACCTTGTGTCTCAATTCTGGTGTCCTAGGGGCTGGCTGGTACTTTGTCACCCAGTTGAAATTGGGATATATGGCTTTCTGCACGACTGCTATGATGCGTTCCTACATATGTGTTAACTGGCTCACCCCAGCTTCATGGAGTTGAGATTCCCTCTTCCTGGAGTAGAGTTTCAAGTGAGACACTCTGCAGTTCTACCTTTCCAAGTGCCAGGGGGCTAGAAGGAATATGATACACCCACTCTGCTCCACAGTCTTCCCCCCATTGTTTGATAGCTGTGGTTTTGGAATGATTACTGCTGAGACCATCCAAGGCTGCATTCCATCATGCCAACACACACACTCATTCCACCTAGGGTGCTGCCTACATTATCTTTCCAAGTAGAAAAGCTTTCTAGTAACTGCTGTCTGACTTTTCTGCTGCATGGACACAGCTCCTGCTGGTGTTGTGAAGATAAGGTGAGCTG